TACTCTCTTATAATAAAATACAGTTGAATATGACATTTGTTATAACAGCAGAGTTAAACTGTAATGATAAGCATGGTAGCTTGAAGTGTCTATAACTGAGAGGGTCAGGAAGAATCGTAACAGAAAAATATAAAAAGTGGACTCCCTAAGGAAGTGTAATATATTACACTTGCAATAATTTCTGGACTTTTCTCTCATTGAGTATAATAAAACCTGATCCCTTCATGTTTTTAAGAAACATTATATATTAACATTTTTATGGCAGTTGTTTTACTTGGCTAGGACACTGCCATTTTCTTTCTTTGTAAATAAACATATTTTCTGCAGCATTAGCCATCTTATGCACTGCCTCCTTATAAATTAAATTCCATGTATTGAGGAAAGAGAAGAGAAAAAGTCATATAAAGTAGAAAGATGAACACATTTTCTTTAGTGTTTGAAATACCATGAAACACATCAAGAAAATCAAATATGGATAGCACAGTATAATTTTCAAGCACAACTGCTCTAATGTATGAGTGCTTCTTAAACCAATAGTGTCTGACATCAAAAGATATTTGTGAGACTAAAATTTACAATGCAGACAAGCCTAATTTGGAGAATCCGAGGCAGAAGGTGAAGAAAGCATATTTTTAATACATTCCGCAATATCAAAAGGCCAATTATAAAATAATACAGAATCTGTAGGGAGGCATCAGCATGAATGTGTGTAACTGATCTCAGAAATACATAGTTGGTTCAAGCCTAATCATTATAGCTTTTAAAAAGTCCATTTTGGTTGCTGACAAAGTCTTATTGCTTCTGTAGCTATATAGTTTCAGCAATGATAATAACTGCAAACATTCACTGAGTATTTAGTTCTTAGACATTGATACTTACACACATTATCTCATACAATCCTCCTAGCAACCACATACAACAAATACTCTTATTATCTTGCTCTTACACATGAGAAATATGAGGCACAAAGCCCTTATCTTACTAAAGGTTCATGGCTAGTAAGTGGTAGAGGATGTAAATCTAGGCAGTCTGACTCCAGAAAATGCATCGTTTAGCACTATACATTATTAACTAAATTACATGACTAATATAAGGTAAACTTGAACACTAGGTGATTTGTCATGTGCCCAATAAGACTACAAAAATTTTTTTTTATCAATTTGAACATATACACATTTGGGGATATAGATATAATTATCAACTGTCTAACTGCAATTTTAGCATATTATATGTATATATATATATATATATATATATATATATATAAAATCACACATTAGGCAAAGTAGTATATTCATTAGAAGTATTGCCTTTCTCCCTATTCATATTTGTAACACAATGACAATACAGTCTAGTGGTTTAGCACAAGGACTCAGGACCCAGACAGTCTGGGTTCAAATCTCAGGTCTGCAAGTTATTTACCACCCTGTTCTCAGTTTTACCAAGGGAAAAATAGAGAGTAGCTATCTCATCAGGTTGTTAGGAAAAGCAATTGAGTTCAAAGGTATGAAGTGCTTGGAGCAGTGCCTGACACATAGTAACTATACATAGATGGTAGCTGTTACATTTTTCAAATGCACCTTTGGCAGGAGGGGCTCTGCCATCACTAGAGCCCAGTCCTCTGATGCTGTTTTTTACATTATTTCCCCTTCTGTCTAAGGTATTTGAGATATAGAACTTCTACTATTATCACTGAAATTCTTATTCCAGACCACAACATCCATTCACCTAACATTAGGAATGCTATTTAAGGGAGTATGTGTGGGGGCTTCCTTGGTGGTGCAGTAGTTAAGACTCCGCCTGCCAATGCAGGGGACACAGATTCAAGCCCTGGTCCAGGAAGATCCCACATGCTGCGGAGCAACTAAGCTCGTGCACCACAACTACCGAGCCTGTGCTCTAGAGCCCACGAGCCACAATTACCGAGCCCACGTGCCACACCTACTGAAGCCCGCGTGCCACAACTACTGAGCCCACATGCCACAACTTCTGAAGCTCATGTGCCTAGACCCCATGCTCCAGAACAAGAGAAGCCATCACAATGAGAAGCCTGTGCACCGCAGTGAAGAGTAACCCCCGCTCACCGCAACTAGAGAAAGCCTGTGCTCAGCAACAAAAAAGACCCAACGCAGCCAAAATAAATAAATAATTTTTTTTTAAAAAGAGGGTATGTGTGAGCTCTACGATGGAAATACAGTGTTGCTTTAAAAATTATCTTTAAAAGACTTTTTTTAATAAAGCACCATGAGGCACTTGCATATTGAAGTCAAAGTCCCAAGAATAAATATTACATTAGGGTTCAATTTCATTGCCTTTTGAAAATCAGTTCTTTCCAAAAGCATCCAGTGTTGTTACAGGTAAATGTCTTCACAAAACAATAATTTATTGTTCAAAGTAAAATAATTGAAATAACAGTTGCAGAATTTGATGAGGAAACTCTTTTCTAAGGGATAAAGGATAATTTGGGGGAAATGTAATTGTCATATTTGGGTTATATAATTAATATTCAGGGATAGTGAAAACAGATCTTGGGCACTTACATTGTTTTTACCATAGTTATCAGGTTTCATAGTTATTATGCGTAACTTGATGCGATAAGCACACCACTGCCAAACCCCCACTCATTTGGTGCTTGTGGATATAGCTGAAAGTAGGGGAAAAGTACCTATGCTCAAACCATAATTTCCTGGCACAATTCCCTATGACATATTTTAGCATAGAACAGAAGGGAAAGAAGACAGCTCCAAGATATCAAAGCACAATTTCACTGCCATCATAAAAGGAGAGTTTTCTTGTACCTTTGTGAAGAATGTAAAGTTGTTAGTGTGTAGACTAGCGTGATTAAGAGATTAACTATTAAAAGATATTGCTCATGATTAGAATGTTCTTCCCCTTTTTGTTCCAAGTTTAGTTTAGTGACTGACATACTAGGTCACTGGGCAGCTGCTCCAAACCCACTTTATGTTCTATTATCCCTTGACCTGGTTGAGGCTTTCTACTCCTAATAAAGCCAGCTTAATGACTTTAACAGAGGTCAGCACATTTAACAAGTACTCAGTTTCCTTTAATATACTTCGAGCCTATCAATCATGTGCGGAGAGGCGGGGGGGGGGGGGGGAGCGGGGGGGGGGTGGGG